TGCGTGCGCGTGCGCGAGCGCGTGGGCGTGCGCGCGTGCGTGCGTGGGTGGGCCGGTGGGTTTGTGTGTGTGCGTGTGGGTGTGGGCGTTAGCGTGGGCGTGTGTGTGTGTGTGGGTGGATGGGTAGGTGGATGTATTTGTGTGCGTCTTTGTGTGTTTTGTTTGTGTCTGTTCGTTTGTGTCTGTGTGTGTGTCTCTGTGTGTGGGTGGGTCTCAGTGTGGATCTGTGTGTGTGTGTGTCTGTCTGTGTGTCTGCGTCTGCGCGTGAGCAGGTGCCCCACCCCGGACCCAACCCCGACCCCGACCCCCACCCCCACCCCACCCCCCCTCCCCAACACCCCACCCCATCTGTTACGCGTGAGCGGGTGCGCTTGCTAGGTGGCAGGCATGTGCGCAGTGCGGCGGGCGTGTGTGAGCGGGTGTGCCCCACCCCACCCCAACCTCCCCAAAGCCTGACCCCAGCCCAGCCCACCCTGAGCAGGCGCTCATTAAGGCGGCAGGCATGTGTTGCACGTGAGTGGGCGTGCTTATCAGGTGGCAGGCATGCGTGCAGCGCTGGGCGGGCGCGCGTGAGCGGGTGTGCTTATTAGGTGGTAAGCGTGGATGCAGCGCGTGAGCGGGTGTGCCCCACCCCGCCCCGCCCCGGCCCCCACCCCCGCCCCACCCTTCCCCAATACCGCACCCATTGCACGTGAGCGGGTATGCTTATTAGGTGGCAGGCATGTGCTTACCATTCCCCCGCCTCCCCACCCACCCCCCACGGGTGTGCTTACCATTCCCCCCTCCCCCCCACCACCCCCCCCCCCCCACAGTGCTGAGCGGGCGACTTGAGGGGTGTGCTTACCAATCCCCCCCCCCCACCCCCCCACCCTGCCAAAAGTGTGTGTGTGTACAGATGAGCCAGATGACAGAAACCTTGTGTGCGCAGATGATCCAGAGTGCATGGCGCAATAAGTGAGGAAAGCCTGTGTGTACAGATGATCCAGACTTGTGTGCGCAGATGATCCCCTGCCCAACAGGAAGCAATCTGTGTGTTTGTCTGTGTGCGTCTGTGACTGCTTGGGTGCCTCTGGGCGTGTGCGTCTCTGTTTTGTTTCTCTCTCTTGGTGTTTGTGGGTGCTACTATGTGTGTGTGTGTTTGTCTGTGTATGAAAGTGCCTCTGTGCGTCTCTGTATGTGTGCGCAGTGCAGTGATCTCTGTGCCGCTGCGTGTGTGGATGTGTGTGTGTGGTGTGTGTCTGTGTGTCTGTGTCTCTGTGTCTGTGTGTCTGTGTGTGTGTCTGTGTGTGGGTGTGTCTCTGTGTGTGTGTGTGTCTGTGTGGCTGTGTGTGTGTGTCTGTGTGTGTGCCTGTGTCTGTGTCTGTGTGCACGTGTGTGTTTATGTGCGTGTGTGTCTGTGTGTATGTGTCTCTCTGTCTGTTTGTGTGTGTCTCTGTCGGTGTGTGTGTCTCTGTCTGTTTGAGTGACTGTGTGTGTGTGTGTCTGTGTGTGTGTCTCTGTGCGTGTCTCTGTGTATGTGTCTGTGTGTGGTGTGTGTGTGTGTGTCTCTGTGTGTGTGTGCGTGTGTCTCTCTGTGTGTGTCTCTGTGTGTGTGTCTCTCTGTGTGTGTCTCTGTGCGCGCGTGTGTCTCTCTGTGTGTAGTTCTCTGTGTGTGTTTGTGTCTCTGTGTGTGTCTCTCTCTGGGTGTGTGCTGTGTGTCTCTGCGTGTGTCTCTGTGTGTGTCCCTGTGTGTGTCTCTGACTCTGTGTCTCTGACTCTTTCTCTCTGTGTGCGTGTCTCTGTGTCTGTCCCTGTGTGTGTCTCTGACTCTGTGTCTCTGACTCTTTCTCTCTGTGTGCGTGTCTCTGTGTGTCTGTGTGTGTGTGTTTGTGTGTGTGTGTGTCTGTGTCTGTGTGTGTGTGTCTGTGTGTGTGTCTGTGTGTGCGTGTGTGTCTGTGTGTGTGTGTCTCTGTCTGTCTGTGTGTGTGTGTGCGTGTGCGTGTGCGTGTGCGTGCGCGTGCGCGTGGGCGTGCGCGTGCGCGTGCGCGTCTGCCGTGAAATCTCACACCTGCTGTCTGCAATAAACGTGTACGTATGCGTGTGCGTGTGCGTGCAGGTGTGTGTGTGTAGGTGCGTGTGTATGTATGTGTGTAGTGTAGTGTTGCAATGTAGTGTAGTGTGAGATGTAGTGTGTGTAGTGTAGTGTAGATGGTGGTGTGGTGTGGTGTGGTGTGGTGTGGGTGGTGTAGTGTGGGTGAGTGTGGTGGTTGTGGTGTGGTGTGAGTGTGGTGTGGTGTGAGTGTGAGTGTGGTGTGTGTGTGTGGGTGGGTGTGCGTGTGCGTGTGCGTGTGCGTGTGCGTGTGCGTGTGCGTGTGCGTGTGCGTGTGCGTGTGCGTGTGCATGTGCGTGTACGTGTGGGGGTGTGGGGGTGTGGGTGTGTGGGTGTGTGGGTGTGTGGGTGTGTGGGTGTGTGGGTGTGTGGGTGTGTGGGTGTGTGGGTGTGTGGGTGTGTGTGTGTGTGCGTGTGCGTGTGTGTGTGTGTGTGCGGAGTGGCAGAATACCCTGTCACCAAAACTTTTTCTTCAGCAGGGGGCTCGCGAGCAACTGGATGGCGCGGGCCAACGAAGACCCATCCAGTTTGCTGTGCAAACGTACCTGCAGAAGTGATTTAAGGTCCTTTTGGTCCCCTCCCTGAACCGCCGTTGCTTCCTTGTTTCCCTGCTCAAGTAATTAGAGTGAAGCTGAGTGCCTTGCGAGCCGAAACTTATCCCACTCGAGACTTATCAGTTGTACTCGAGACTCATCAGTTGTACTCGAATGATTAGCAGCCTCCCTTGGGAGTTGAAGTGTGATTACCCCATCTTGGGGGAACCTCGGGTGTACCCATCGTGTGACCCCGGGCCGGTTCGCCGGAAAACTTGACCTCAACGTTCATATCACAGTCCAGCGGAATTTCACGATTTAAGCAGGAACGAGGTTTCACTAAAGGGAAGACAGCCGTCAGGTCATAGCTACGTCTCACCAACTTTGATGATGAGCGCGGACCGGGTGACGTTTGGCCTTGTATTGACTTGTGCTTGACATGGACTTGCGTTGACTTGCATCTTGTCGGATTCGCTTTTCTCATTAAGTTGTCACGGCTTTTGAGTTTGTTGAACCGTCATGTCTCGACGGGATGATCGCGACAGATCTAGAACTCGGCGCAGACGGGATAGAAGCCCTTCTTCACCTCCTCGCAAAGCTCGCAGACGTGATCAGGACGACACCTTGGTCTCGGACGGCATGGATTGGAACAACCTGATGACTTGGCAACGCAATCCGAGCTACAACGCTCCCAATGCCTTTCCAATGTCACAACGCAACTACCAGCACAATCCCTCGTCATCGCAGCTCTATCAGCACCCTCCCCGTTCTCTCCGGAACCTACGCCGGCTAAGACCGTGAAGTCGATGATGCCACCTCCTGGCCACGCACAAGGACATCCTTCACAACCAACGGCAGCACCTGGCAATCCGGCTACGCTGCCAGTGCAACCTCAGAAAGCATGGCCTACTCCACCGGAAGAGTGGAAACCTGGTGACGGCCTGTTGGACAAGAACCAACTCTACTCCTTCACCCTGCCCATGACGGTCGCCAACACCCCACATAACACGCAACGGGATATGTCGGGCATGGACATCCGGGACGTTCGCCTGGTTCAGGTCATTCACGGTGGCATTTCCAACTGGCTACTGAGACCATTCGCTCACGGGCGATTCGTGACGTGGGAAGGATTTCGCACCCGCACCGAGGCCTTGCTTTGGAGCACTTGTTCCAAGTTGCTCCGTCGATCCCATCCCAGCCCCTCAACCTGCTTACTTTGGAGAAAGACTTGGCCAACTCGCTGGGACTCAACATTGATGACTTCAATCAGTGGATCAAGGTCCACGAGCACTTGGGCAATCTTGTGCTTCAGTTTCTTCAACAACATCATCAGACGCTCATGCCCCATTCTCAGGAAGATGAAATGCTGCAGAAGTACAACAATCTCCAACGTGCACACGAGTTGCTCCAGGCACAGTACTCGGCGTCACAGAGATCGTCGCCTCCTTCTACGATGACCTCCCAGAAAGATGATGCAGAGCTGGTCACAGCGCCTCCGGTCAATCACTCGCAGTCTTCGACTCCCACCAGCTCGTTGCCCACGGTAAGTGCGGCAGCCCTTGACGGCAGGTCATTTGATGTTCCACCTCAGCAACAGCCTCGGATTATCCAATCTCTTCACGGACTGTCACCCCCGCCTTCCAAGCAAGCAACATCTCAGTTGCTCACCATGCACAGCACGCCTGAAGACATCATCAAGCACTACTCCTGGACCAGTGATCAGCCACGATTCTACCTCAAACAGGCTCCCACTACTACTACCGTGCCATCGCTGATCAAGTGAGCCAACCACCCCTCCCGTCTCAACGGCAACAAGTCTCTGGATCCCATGGCAGCTCAGCTCCTGCAAGCGCGTCAACGTTTGCCAAAAGGTGATGCTCCCACGTTTGCTTCAATGGCCTCTTTGTGAGGACTGGAGCCAGGCTACACCACCAAGCTCTCGGACAAAG